TTACTAAGTGCATTAGAAAGCTCAGAATGAACACTCCTTGTCGATCAGTATCCAGGCAAGATAGGGTTCCAAAAAGTTCCAGTGTACAGATATGCTAGACGGGATAAGTTTGTACTTCGAACGGGTGGAGGGGTGGGATTTGCATGCACAAAGGTCAATGTGTGAAGGATGGGTGCAATGGGATAGAACATTATCAGACAACGTACGCATCGCACGTATCAATATGGATATTACATATGTTACCAGTCATAACAGATAACGAAACTTGGGAGACCCCGCTGATCATTGAGAAGTCAGGTGTCAGCAACTTACAATCAGCCTTCAGTAAACCGAAGAGAATTACAGGGGAGCAGCAAAAGTGTATAGGGAGAGCACATTGCTGAACAGAAGCGTCAATCACCTACAAATCAGAACAGAAGTGGCGCAGTCTTCTTATCTGAAGAGAGAACTTTCAACTTGCGAGCAACAGTTTGGGTATGTAAAGACCAACGAAGGTTGCTTTCAAGTGTGACATCTAAGTACTTCACATGTCTGACCCTGCTCATCGGCTTTGCATGAATCTTTACATTGTCGGAGGGAGATGGGGAACGGCTTAGAGTAAAAATACATTCAAGGCATTTTCCGGGATTAAGATTAGGACCGGATGAAGTGGAATACGAAACGAAGTGGGATAAGTTTGTGTTAGGTTTAACCCGTTCTGATTGGTTAGGTACAGAAACAGAAGTGGCAATATCATCATCATACTTAAAAGATCGTACAGGGGAGTAATAGGTAGGTCACTGATATAAGTCGCAAAAAGATAGAGTGATAGGAAAGCACCTTGAAGTACACCCGAACGCTATCACGACGAGACTGCACCTTGACGTGGTGTGATGGCTTGCGTGCCTCCATGACCCTGCGAGCTACACAGGATGGCTTTGAATGGGAGAGTAATGTATACTAGCTTCTTCTTTGCGCTTAAAAGTTTTTCCTTTGGAGGGTTATTTCGCAAAACGTTCTGGATGGCCATTTTGCGAAATAACCCTCCAAAGGAAAAACTTTTA